GTTAATCTGTTTACATAAAACCAAAATAACATGACCACGGTGGTAGTGATAACGCCGCTGACCGCGTAAACATGATTTCTTTAGCGGTGACATTAGGGACAGTAGGGGCAGCTTACCTTCTCCAACGTTTTTCTGAGGGCGGACCTTTCTTTACCGAGGCGGCAGAGCACCCTCTCCATCTCGCCTCGGTCTTTCTGCAGCTTTTTCAAAGTGCCCTGCAGACTGTTGACCTTGCGCTGGAGTTCCTCCTTTTCTTGCTGCAGCTGTTGGGAGCAGCCTTGAGCCTGTACTCCAGCCTTCTGCTGCTGCTTCAGGCCCTAGGAAACGATCGGCCGCTTACATCAGCCAAATGGAGCCCTAATGTGCACGCGCTGGGTTCATATCTGTACCAAAGACTCACCTCCTTCAGTGAACTGTTCTGTTTCTCCAGCTCAGACATTTTAAGCCCGGCATCCTCGTTGTTTCTCTCAAGGTTCTGGTTGTGTTCAGTCAGCGTGTGGTTTAGTTTTTTACTCTCTGAGAGGGAATCTCGCATCTTATCCAGGCGTTCCTATGGGCACATATATTACATATATATTACTTTACTATCCGATATTTGGAATTGGTCCGATATCAAAATTGGTGTTTCTCAAAACTTCTCTATTGCCGTTCTTAAAATTCTGTTGATTGCACTGCAACAGACACAAAATATTTCCTACACTTTTTACCGCAGTGGACCAATACTTTCAAGCCAATCAAGATTTACGATAAGAAAGCTGTGTTTTTGTTTGCTCAATATTTTTCCTTCAGTTCTCTAAACTCAAACCGGAAAGCTCTCCTGAGAAGCTCTGGAAGAATTAATGAGTTTGCCCGAGCATTTTATTGCTTCATCTTTGAGGTCTTTCAGGAAAACCGCAGCAGAAAATGTAAATAAATAAAAAAAAAATTCACCCTGGAGCTGCAAAGTTTAAACAGCTGCTCTTTAAATCTGACCGTGACATTCAAAAATGGCCATCAATCTTATTCAAAGTTTCAATCCAGGACTTTTGAGAGGAGAATGAAAACAGTAATTACACTTCGCATGATTTTAGCGGCACAGAAGAAATGGGGAAACGTTCGACTTTAAGTGAATTTCTGTCCCGACCTTCCTGTAGGTTAAACCGACCGTACCTGCAGCAGCCTTCTGTCCTGCTCACTGCACGTCAGAGCCCTGTGCAGCTGGGTCATCTGTTCCTCCAGGACCTCGCTGCCGCTCCGGTTGTCACTGAGCGACTGGGACAGTTTGTGGATCTGCTCTCTCAGTTGACCTTCGTGCTGCTCGTTTCGAGCCAGCGACAGGGTCAGCCTCTCTTCGCTGATCCTCAGCGCTGCACACTGGTCCTCGCTCTCCTCCAGCTTCTTTCTCAGCTCCATCAGCCTTTCCTGCAGTGCCCCGGACTCCGCGTCCAGCTCTGCCGCCCGGAGTCGCGCTCGGTGCAGTTCGCCCTCGAGCGTGCACTGCGTCAGCTCCAGGCTGCTGGCTCTGTTTTCTGCCGCCTCCAGGGACTCTTTCAGCTTCCGACGTTCCATGTTCGCGTGAGATTCCAAGTTCTGCAAGAGCTCCAACTTATCCTGTCATGAAAAAGAAAAATGGAAGTTTCCAGTCATCTCATCAACGTCGATCCGTACCGTGCTCTGCATCCCACTTACCTGTTGTACCCTGGATTCTGACTCAGCAGTTTGCAGACTATTCCTGAGCGTTGCAATCTTCTCCTCAAGGCTTCTTTTCTCTCCCTCGGTGCGACAAGCCACTTCCTTGTGAAAGGAAAGCGACAGGTGCAGGTCACGCATTTGTTTTTCTATCTCTTTTCGACCTAGGGAACATAAAAAAAGTCAGTTTGTCCTTGGTGATGTGATATTTTTCTCTCTGTGTCTCCATGTTCTTACCAGTCTCTGACTGTTTCAAGGAGTCCTGCAGTTGCAGTATTTGAGAGCTTGACTTATGTTGGCTGTCTGTGAGGTTTGACACCTGCTCACTCAGGCTGAGCACCTGAGACTTGGCTTCATCCTGGAAGAGGTTTGAGGAAGATCAAGACGGACAATTTAAAATACATTACAAAATAAATAAAATAAAATATAAATTGCATTCTTGCTGTCAGGCTTCTTTAGGTCATTGTTTTCCAAAGACTGGGTCGCAAAAGATTTTTTTGGGGTCGTCTCGTGTTATGTTTCCCAGGAGTTTACGAATAATGTCTATTGACTTGGGTCGTTTGTGACTTTTAAAATATGGGTCTCCAGAAAAAAAGTTTGGGATGTCTTTTTTAATCCTGACAAATGTTATCTTGACTTTTGTATAACGCCACATTTAGCTTCATAGAGTTGGTTGATTTTAGTCAATACTTTGCATTTTGATGGTGGCTTCTAGAACACACCCAAGAACTGCTTTCAAAACTATATGTATTGACTGTGTATTAGGGCAGCGATAAGAGGATGGACAATGAAATAATTCATTTAATAATGAATGAAAACTTTTAATATGATCATACTGACAGGCCTAAGTAAAATGGTATATCTTTTTCAAGCAAGTGATGTTTTTCGACTCTTCTTTCCTGTCACTGTTTCCGTTCTTTATGTATTCAAATGTACCTTTTTCCTTTGTGCTTCCCTGAATTCCTGCTGGAATTCCTGCAGAATTGTGTGTACTGCATCAATGTCCAGCTCCTCCTCTTCACCATCAGATATAGACAAGACGGTTCCACCTGTCACGTTACCGGCCCCATGCACAGAACCATAGCATATATATATACACATATATACAGACACACATATATATATATATATATATACATACATGTATACACATATATACACATATTTATAAATATATATATATATATACATACATATATACATATATACATATATATAAATATATATATATATATATATA